ATGGTGAAGGGTTAGAGAAGAGAAAAAAGGTGGTGAAGGGTTTTAATGGAGGAGTGAACGTAAAACCCTGAGAAGCTATATGAATTTTGAATTTGAAGAGAATGAGGAAAAGAAAGAAAAGATATAATAGAAATGGGGAAAAGAAAAACAAGTTGGGAAGTCTTAATTAGGTGTGACTGTGTTGGCTGTTGCAAATTTAAATGAGGTATGAGTGAATGTGGGATGTTTGCAGGAAAATAATAGGAGCGAGCTTGAAAGAATAGACAAAGAGAGGCATGATGACTTCTTTAGCATGTTGCGAGGATTTGTTGTCAATCAAGTAAGCTACATTTATCTTCTCTGTTCCGTAAGATTTATATTTTAGATGGCCATTTATGGTTCAGAACAGTAACAAATATACCCTGTGCATGCATTTTACAGGCAGGCTATGCAGAGAAGATGGCAGCTGTGTGGGAGAAGCTTGCGGAAGAAACCACTACATACTCAAGCTAAAGTTTATGTTATTGTAAAATTTTGTTCTTGTCCTTTTTAAGCTAACTTGTAGATTTTTGTTTCTTGATTTATAAACACTTAATTTAGAAAGACTTATACATTTAGCTAACTTCACTTCAACTAATCAGATTTGTATCTAAGTAGTCGATCCTGGGATCCCATCCCAATTTGGCATGACGCCGCGATGGGATTGGCTATCCCATCCCAATTTGGCACGACGCTGAGATGGGTTTTGCTATCCCATCCCAGCTATACTAGTACTAGTTTCAATTCCCAGGACGAAGGGTTAAAACCCTAATTTGCCCTCATTTTTAAATCACCGTCTCCCTTTCGGGACCTTTTGGTCATTTCGACTGGCTTATTATGTATTTAATTGTGTATTTTTCTATAAGTTGCTTTTTAGCATTTATGTGTACAGTATAAGTTGCTTATTTTGCTTGCCTAAATATCCCTATGCCATTCATCCCACTATCCACTACCCTATTTTTTTTGGGGTCGTCTGGGATGCTCTGGATTTGACTTCATATAATTGGATACGCATAATCCTTTATTTTTTCTCTTTATTTTGCTGTATTGTTTTGGTCTTACGTTTAAGATTTACTTAGTCATTTGTCTGTTTTGGTCTTACATTCACTTTATTTTGAGTCATTTGTCTGTTCTGGTTCCAAATTAGTTAAGAAAAGCAATAACCAAATTAGCTGAAAGACTAAAATTGCCCTCTCTTTGGCTTTTCTAGAGATATATTTGGTGATAATATGAATTAGGGGTGACCATACCTGCATACCCCGCTCGACCTGATCATGATCGAATATGATCGAGACTATGGTCGAGCCAGGTTTAAAAATTAGACTTAAACATTATTTAAAAATTAGACCAAAACCATTATTTTCTCATGATGTAATAAACCCTAATTGTTGACCGTTTTATTTAAATGATTAACGTGACTGTCATTACATCGTCGAAGAATGAATATAATGTTTAAATGTATCCCTTATGTATCCATGGATTCAATTTTCTTGATCTCCTGAAATACAGTTTGTTTGTTGTTTGCAAATGACTTTTTATTAATTGTGATAAAATTAACCATGGGTTTTAGACAAATCACACCATTTTGTGTCATTCTTTTTGCGAAATTGGGATAATTACCAATGAAATTTGAAATAATTTTATTATCTTGATTGACGAAGACAACCGATAATTTGAATTTTTTTGTACTACAACATTTTTTCATCCAGGCAAGTATTGGTACCAGATTTATATAATATTGTAACACAAAAGGTTATATAATATTGTTTTCTTTATTATGGTGTGTTTATCACATTTCATTTTAATTTGCCTTGCCGTTTGAAAATAATAATTCAAATCATAATGACATACTAACATAGCACTAATTTTTTACTGGCAGACCATTCGGAATAATTAATTAAATTTTGTTATATTTTTACATTGCTATATTTTTTATTTGATGACGTGAGTACTTTCTAATGAAGTTTTGTTCCAATACACAACTGATGTCTTTTTAAAACTGTAGTATTGAACTATGCTTCAGATCCAACTCAACAATAGTTAATGGAAGCCTATTACAGGGGGGACATTTTAGTAGTCACTTATATATCCTTGGTTACAAAAAAAGAAGACCCATTAGTTGGACTTGTTCACAGTAGATGTGTTATAAAATAATGAAGTTCACTATGAAATAAAAGAAGGGTTTGAATTGTGTTTCTTATGTTTTTATAAAATTATTCAATATTAAAACTTCTCACAATCAATTATAAGGTGACGGCAAAAGACACAACCATTTCTGTTTCTGTTACCATCATTATAAATCAAGCTAAAATTAGTCCAAGCCGCAGCATTCAAATGCATAACTATGCATCCCCACTTAAATTTCCTTGTTCTAGGAAGAAGGCTTTTTAATTCAATTCCAACACTCAGATTGGAAAAAATATTATTCACACCCCACAAATAAGTAATAACTTTTGTGGACATACCAATCAATTGCAATTTG